AAATAGTATTAAATTACCTTATAGCTGGTTATTTTCCCGAAAGGCTCAAATAACTCCTTCAACTTCTCGTCATCAAAATCTTCTCCAAAATTCTTTACGTACACATTGGTAAACAGTTTTGCTTTTTCTCCCAATTCCTTCTCGCGTTCCTTGCGTGGAATGAATTTACCTACGTAGACTTTTTTAGCATTTAACAACATGCCATTGACTTTTTCTATCGAAGTGTTAGCTGATTCTTCGGTTTCAAAATGTACGAAACCATATCCTTTTGAATTGCCCTTTTCGTCGGTTGCAACTTTACAACTCAATATGTTGCCAAACGCAGAAAAAGTGTCAAAAATCGCTTTATTGTCAATACTTTTATCAAGATTTTTAATAAAGACATTTCCCACACCCGAACGACGCAAAGATGGGTCCCGCTGTGACCACATAATGCGTATAGGCTTGTTACGAATTAAATCAAAATTCATCGTATCTAACGCGCGCTCCGCTGTTAAAAAAGTAAGTAAAATAAATATTTTAGTTATTAATGGAATTCAATGGTAGAAAAAGTTTCGTTTTCCTCAAATTGTAAAACAGTATTGTTTTAAAAATAATTCTGACAAACTGTGAAAACTTTATGTTTGTCCTAATAAAAGTTATTTAAAAAGTTGTATAAGTCAAATCATAATTGAAATAATATATTATTAAAGCAAATTTTCTTTTGTTCGCTTACTAATGATGCCAAGTATAATAGGATTTAATTAGAACAGCATGGTAAATAAAGCGATCTTTCTCTTGCATTTTGTGTATAGTCCGTGGGCACTCGATAACTCATAAACTACGTTACGAAAAATGCATTGTGATAATAATAAAAAATATAATTGAATTGTTCATCAATACTTCTTCTACAAGGATTTTACAAACTTATTTAAAATGAAAAATTGTTGTGCACATTATTCTGTTTAATATGCTTCCCTCCCTTTTTCCATAATATTCTTCTAGCAAAAAGTGTGTATCTGAAATACTTCGCATATGTCAATATAAATAAATACTAAATAGATAATTTTCAAACATTTGTAGCAGCGACCATACAACATGCACCGATGTCTCTTTACCGCGATATTACCAAGTCATATAGTAAAATTTCTTTTCACAGATGTGCTTGTCATGCAAAGCACGTACGAAAGTGTCAACGTAGCATTTGCACTAAAATTTAAAAAACGTAAATATAAATTGAAACTATATCCCCATACAAAATAAAAAATAAATAGAATTATTGCTCAACTAATTGACAGTCTAACAAATGTAATCGTGGTTTTTCAAATAAAATATATATATATGTACATAAAAAAAAGTATAAATACATATCAATGTGAAGTCACTGAACCCCAGAAAAAAAAAAAATAATAATAATAATAATGTAAATAAACTATAATACATAGCCTGGTGAAAGTTGAAGAAAAACACTCATGAATTCTGCATACGTGACATTTTTTTAGSGAATTTTAAATATATTCATGTATACAAAATATATGGTATGAAAACATCTGAGTCATAACTCACATAACCTACGGTCCAGAGTTAATAATGAAAACATAAKTAAAACGGAAACAAAGAAAATTGCTCTTTCCCCCATGATAGCCTATAAATCAGGTACAAATATATGTACTGGCATTAAAAATGGCTGACACATGTGGTGAAAACTACAGTAATGCCAGATCAAATAATCTATAACCACTCTAATTTAAATACTTCCCTTCCACTACATATCAAATCGACTATTATTCGCAATATAAACATCTCATCTCAGAAAAAAAAAAAAACTAAAAAAAATTTATTGGAATTCCTCTTCATATTTCGCTACCATAAATATTTTAAAATCTTACCGTCAGCTGGTTGCTGGAAATTTACATAGGCATAGCCCAGTGAACGACGTGTAATTACATCACGGCAAACCCGAATGGATAATACCGGACCAGCGGTTGAAAATTTTTCAAATAAACCAGCCTCGTTTATATCTTGATGTAAATCGCCAACATAAAGTGATGCCATTTGATAGTTGGGTCCTCCAGAATTCATTTTTTTTTTTATSTGTCGGATACAAATTTATCTTTGCACGCTTCTTTCAATCGCTCTCTTCAATAACGTTGAAGAGAAAAATCTACACAAAAGAAAAACTTAAAAGAACTGTAAATAGAAACAAATTAGTTATTATTATAGTACAGCAAATTTTTCCAAGTTAAAATGCTAAAAATAAAGTGGCAACCCCAAGAAACACGTTTCGTACTAATGCGGCGCTGGCAACTGCTATTCAGTATGGAGAATACCAAGCAAAATAAATTAAATTTAATACAATTTTTTTAAATCCGAACACCTTCCATAAATACGTAAAGTAAAATTTCAAAMAATTTTACATGTGTTATTCTGTTTTTTCCCCCCAGGAACCCTCTTTTTGAAAACCTCGTGTGCATAAACGACCACCATTTTTCTTTAGCTTTGCTTCGCCATGCCACGCCACAATCGAATTTCACTTTTATCGGTTATACATAAAGATTACATTATGCTGTAATTTTACTTACGTTTTATACACTTGCTCGATTTTTGCTACTTTTTGCAATTTTTTTTTGTTGATTTTATATATTTTTATTTTTTTTTTTGGTTTTTTAAATGATTTTTTCACAAAAATATGTGATAGTCGCGAGCTTAATTTACCACACGACCACTCACCACGTCGGACTCAACACGACTCAATTCAATTCAATTTTCATTTTCTTTCGGTTCACACGAATACGCCATTTTCGACATTCCATTCACCTCTCAATCGTGGAATGCGATTGATGAACCTCAGAGTTGTAACAAGTATTCGATTACGTTATGGAGTGTTTACACTCTACTTCTAATCTCCTTATAGTTTAAGGATTGTTTAGTGTCATAATATAAATGCACACACATTTTGTTATTAAAATATGTATTATTGTAAATTTTTATGCATTTCTAAGACACATGTTTTCGTTATTGTTCCTAAACACTATTTATAAAGAAAATATAATTTACCTTTGATCGAAAAATAAATGAATCCTTTTGCAAATCACCGCTTTTAACCAAGTATTCACAGGACAGCAATGAATATTTTTATAGCGACGGACACCTTTTGTAAGGATTTCCAMAGTAGTATCGGGCACACTTTTATTATTGACGTTGGCGATTCTGTTTGTATGTATCAATTGAAATAGTAAAAAAAATGTTCACAAATTTGAAATGCACATAAAATCGGATTTCGGAATTAAAAAATATTTGGCTAACTATCGGACATTTAATCTTTTTTTTGCACAATCAAAATGCGAAAGGAAAAACGAGACATTTTTGAGATAAGAATCAAACAAAATATTTTCTTTTTTTGGTTGATTGCGAGAATTATTTTATTTGTTTTTTACAAACATGCAGAACGAAAACTACAATTTTTCCAAAATAATTTTTCCTCAAATGTTTCTCGATGTATTAAAAATTCATTGAGTGCCTAGATTCAATGATCTACCGTAGATTTAAAGTGTATCCATGAGGAGTGTATGTACACACAAACATATAAAACATTTAATTGCGCTTCTTTTTGCCCTTCTTTTTTTCAACTTTCTTCTTGCTACGACGATATCTYCGAAAAGCCCGTTGAATAATTTTCGCTGCACGCGTCATCATGAATAGCATTACTCGTTCCTCGTGCTTCCGACGATCTTCCTCCTCTTTTGTTTTAACAATGGCTTCATATTCAGCCTCTTCTCGTTGGTATTCGATAAGAAATTCATCAAACTGTTTTTTCTGCTCGTCGTATTCTTCTTGTAGGTAAACGTTCTCTTTAATTTTTTCACCAATATTCTGATCAAATTTTTTCAACAAAGCTTGCAATTGTAAGAGTAGTTTATTTCTAAAAATATTCAAATACATACTATTAAATTATTATTTATAATAATGATGTTAAAATCTTAATTTAGTCATTTTAAGTTTAACTAATTTAGTAAAAAGTTAGGTATCTAAATTGAATACAAAAAAATCAAAAATTAAGAAGTATRTTCGGACATTATTTCTTACTTTTCATCACGCACCTCCTTTTCATGTAAGAGGTTTTGTTTTAACATTTTTTCATAAGCTGCCTTTGTTCTCTCGAGTTCTTCTTCCAGATCCTTTTGCTTTATAACACTGGCCATATGTATATTGTGAATTCGTCTACTGGACTTCACCCTGCAATATAGCAATGAATAAGCTAAATAACGTGACTRGATTAATGGGTTCATAAGTGTATTTAATATACATATGAAGGCAAACATAATATATTTACAGTTCTTCTCTAATGCGCACATTATTGTCCCATTTTTTAAAYGCTAGATCAGCCTCATATTTTTTTATAACACCATCCTTTGCAGCTAGCTTCCAACGTAAGTTAATTTTTTGGTTGTGTAATTTTCCCTGGAATTCTATATTATAAGAAAATAAAGAGTGTACSCTTGGATGTGTATAGAAATCGTCTATACAATCCTTAATCCACATTTTACCTGCTATATTTTTCTTCATCTGCTCGTTATCATGATAAACTTGATGAATTTTCTTTTCCTTTGCCAACTCAGCCATCGCCGATTTACTCAATCGTTCTTGAGCTATATTTTGCAAAAGTGTAAAAGCATTCAATAGAGACTTATCCTCATCGCTCAATTCATCGAGCCAATCGGGCAATGAATGCAACATTTCATAGTTTTCATGGAACATGTCGATTAATTGTAACAGTTGTAGATTTTCTTCAGGGTTAAATTTTTTATCATTCGTTTTCTGTTGGATGGAGAAGACCGCAAAATTATAGCTTGAAAGATGTACGCTTACAAAACTGACATACCTTTATAATTAAGAATGATTGTATGGYATGCCAGCACTTTTCATATTTTGTTCCTTTCAAATGTCTTCTAACCGTCAATGGGTTCTCTAACACACGAGGGATCAGCAACGATATCTTTAATTTCTCAATGGACTCATTTACAATACGCATGACACTGGCAACCTGAGCAGCTCGCTCGGCAGACATCTCAGCTGCCAAAGGGAACAAACAAATGCACATTAAATATAACTTCCTTCTGCAATTATTAATTTTATTCTGGCCGACTTACCATTTTCATATTCGTTTTTGTTACTCATGGCAATTATTTTATCTTCATAGATTTAAAATTATGTATGTATTTAAAAAATATATTAAAAACGTAAATTGAAAGCAGTTAACAAGAAAACTGAATGCAAAATAAAGAAAGGGTTGCTATAGAAATTTATTTTCTATGTGTGTATATATGTATGTTGGCACGTACATATGTACATATGGATACACCAGTTATATAAGTAAATCATTCTATATAATTTAATATGAACTGAAGCTGTTATTCGGTGTTTTCTGTTTAAACGATTTGTGGATAGAATATTTTGAAACAAACATTTATTTTTCCTTTTACTTTTTTAATACATAGACATCCCAATTAAACATATTACATACTAAACATATTTCATTTAATTCAATTAATTTGTATTTATAATACTCAAAAAATTGTCAATAGTTCCATAATCGTATGGGTTGCTTCTAAAATAATGGAAATGTGTTATCCATATATAACATCCAGACTACAATTTCGCTATTGGAATCCTCCTCAATAAAAAAAAACTCTAATTAACATATACCATATATAAAGATATTTAATGATAGACGCAAAACTTTAATTTTACTTAATTTACTATACCGATTTTGGCTATAAAACTTTTCAGCAGTGGGCTTAAGTTTGACCAGAATTTTGATCCAAAGAAACTTAATCGCCTAACCACGCAAATTTCAGTTTGGCTGTTCGCTCTTGTCATAGTGCRTATATTAGTATGTTTTATGTATGTATATAAATTTATATGTGTAAATTACTATTTGCGCCATTGCACTTTCAAACCTGTATAATGTTAAACTTTTCATTCAGTATACTCCTCGAAATTAATACTTATATGTATATGTTACTTAATCATTAAATATACATAACTAAAACTGGCAGTGAAATAAATTATAACTCAAAAATACGTGAAATATACATACTTATATTTATATCCCAAATTTGCGGAAACAATATTATAACTAAAACGAAAAGTATAAAGCGAAATAAAATCATTCAATTCAATATCTTTATAGCATTGTATTGCATATAATATTAGACTGGTTTAATGGTTTGGTAGTAGGTTGAAGTGAATCAAACTCAAGTGCTATATCCTTAGAAATACACGAATACACAAATCGTATTACTTCTTTTGTATGTGAAAGTAAAATACCGAATGTCAAGCAAACCATTTCTTGTTTTGTTTAAATRTTACTCGTTCATGTATTTATATGTTTTTAAGAATGGAAAAAATAAATAACAGCCAATTAATGCGATTGGGACTTAAATTTACTATAAACAGTCTGTACCAATATACAAATTAAAGAAAAAACTTAAAAATATTGTAGTGCTCTACTTACAATTCACATTGTTCACAATTAACATGCCAAATATATTATATGCAAACAATAATTTAAGGCAACATATAAATTAGCAAATATCGTAAAAATCATATGACTGTATATAAATATCCCATACGTTCCACGAATTTTGGTATATGACTTAATGTATCCGACAGCGACTTTTGAACAAATGTCCAGGAATAAGTCTTACTTATACACAGTAAACTTGCATAAAATATAAATCTTGTACGGGAAAAGTAGATTCTTTTAGTGTTCACATTCTACCGTCGCTGTTGTGATTTTTGTAGTTGTCGGCGATATTTTTTGGATTAATTGTGCTTGCGACGAAGCTGTTGCCATATCGCCCCATTCAATTAGATATTGCCTTTGACCATCGGCCAATTGTCGTTTGGCACGAATGCAAAATTGTTCACCAGATTCAATGCGATTCACTGCGCCACCAAAGTATTCCTTAACGGACTGTTTAAGATCTTGCATACTATTCGCATTTGAGCTTTTGTTGTTATTTTTATGTAAATCCTGTTGTTGCTGTTGTAATGTTGCCAACGTTATATTGCTGGATGAGTTAGTCGATGATACAGTGCTTGCACTAGAAATTGAACTACGGCGACTATTAGCGGGTGAAACCTTTTGGGGGCGTTGCCTCAACCGTCGACCATGCGACGGTTTAGCTTGTTGTATTATTTCTACTTGTGCATCCACCCCCGAACTCGTGGAGCCTGGCGGCGACGAAGACGATGACGATGATGATGATATTGATGAAAATGATGCAGTTGTAGCTGTTGTGGTTTGACGTTGACTTTGCTGCTTGTTAAATGTGGACAATACTCTAGTTGTATTTGTTGTTGTGAGTTGGGTTTGTGTAGTAATCAAGTCTTTGGCATGTATAGGGAAAAAGTTCCTAGGAAATGGATTGATTGTTGTTGTACTAATAACCTGAAAGTATARTATAAAATAAATAAGTGTTTTACAAATATATTTGACCATTTCACCTCCACATTTGATGATAGGCGACGAGTTCGTCTCCTCCGCACCTCTTGATTCGGACCAATTGTTATGTCTTTGGCACTCAATCTTCGCTTGATTGTGCGTACTGTTCGGGGCTGTCCGGCAGCCCTGGCTAAATTACTTGTACTTAGATTTGAAAAAATACCTGCGTTTTTAAGCGCTGCCAGCTTAGAGCTGAAGTCCAAAGCTGTTGTATTAAAAATACTGCTTTTAATCATTGTACCGCTTCGATTAAAATTTAATAAGTTTTGAACACATCCCGATGAAGTTCCTGTCGTTTGGGATGTGGGTATATTCTTTTTAGGTGTAATTAAGCGAAAAGGGTTATTAAGACCTAAAAAGTTTTTCGGCGGTGGGATGATAACATCAAGTGATGTACCTCGACTACTGGACGAATTCTCATCAGATGACGAATCACAAATGCGACTGCTGTCATATCGCTTAGCGGCTGCCTCAGCAGCAACCTCCTTGTAGGAATTTGATAATTTAAATGCTTTGCGCTTACGACTGTTCCGCTCTGAAACCATTGGAGACACATTGTTATATACTAATGACGCAGAATTGGGGTTGACTGCATTAGAGATGAGTGCCCTATCAAGGATTTTGCAATCAAATTCACTCTCATCTGTAACCTGTTTAATACTTCCAGTTAAACACTGCGGTGTCTTTAATGGAGATACACCTTTTTCTTTAATTTTATCTTTTCTTATTGAATGGCTAGACTGTATTGTACTATTAGCATCATTAGCATTTTCATCGTCCAGAACCGATATCTTCTCAGACAATATAGTATTGTTATTGTTATGCTTTTTGACTGATTTTTGCCTCAAACAACCTGTGTTTACATTTTGTATTGAATCCTTTATTTTACGACTCTTTTCCATTATATGTTTAATGGGGATTTCATCATCTGAAGTAAATATTTCGTTTTCTTCAACACGAAATTCATATATATCTGGTGGAGCAATCCGTTGTGAAGATGACGAAATTTTGGAAATTTCGTCGCTACTTTTGTATCTATAAGAAAYGATAATATATATATAGTATTTTTTCCTTGTGTTAGTACCTTATTTATACATACTTGTTTTGAACTAACGACATGCATAAATGCTTGTCCACTAGTTTTGCTCGATCCTTCATAGGCTTACTGCAACTAAATTTTAAATATTGTATAAATACATATGTAAAAATTATAAGTTTATTTTGAGCTTACCGCAGACAAAACCAAACGCCGCTGCCCGGTGTGGTTTCTCTGGTACAACAACGATGATATCCACGCCGACAATCCTCACATGTTTCTATAACATCTTGTTCTTGGACACGCTTACACGCTACACACATTTGAGCATTACCATTCCCACCACTATTTTCCAGCCGCCTCATCTCATCAATGCCGCACCATAGCTCGGAGTTATCGTCAAAACGTATCAAGTACTGAATTTTTTGCATCTTACTCATCTCAGAATCACCGCTGCTGCCGATAACCGTTCCCAGATATTGACGGCCATCATCCTTTCGGATAAAAACATCCTCGCCCATCATAAAACTGGACTTTGATAAAGAAACGGATGAATTTGCAGATTTCTTGTCATCTATTAAGCTATCAAGAGAATTAGGGGACGAAGTAGTAGGTGTTGGTGGTGTAAGAAGAGTTACTGGTGAGGCTGTTTCATTAGGAGTAACTTGGATTATTTTTATGGGTGCAGGCGATTGTGGTGACACCGATTTTGTGTATTTCAAATCGACATCTTCACTTGAGTCGTGTAATACTGCAATGTTATGWTGCTGTAATACAAGATTTGGAGAAGAAGCGTCATCGCATTTCGTTGTGTTTTTCATGCGTATTGCCTCCGGAGTTGAAAATTTTATTTCAYTATCTTCTATTTCGACAATGCTGTTTTCAGATATTTCATTCGTTTTAGTCACTATTTCAGTATCAGTTGCATTCTCCTCATCGCTAATGACGTATTCGCATTCTTCATCATCCAGTAGGTCAATACTCTGCGTAATTGTTGCAAAGGGTTCTCCCGCAGCATTGGATATGGTTTTGTTCATTAGTCTTCTTTTTGTAGGTGTACAAACCGTTGTTTGTGATGTTACACTATTTCTTTTAGTTTCAATTGATGCATTTCCAATTATTATTTGAGAAGATGTTGATTGTGAAGCTAATGYACTTCTCGTAGGCGCCAAATTTAATGACAAAGGTGGTGAAGTACTATTTTCGGGGGAGGTGGGTGGAGTATGTGGAGTTGTTGTTGTAGAGTCCGGTTCATCAATGACTAATGTAGAATCGTTGCTAGCGTAAGAATCGCTATGTATCGTTCCACCATTACTAACCGGGTCCAGCACTACTTTGTGATGAATTGCTGGTATAATTGGAGATGGCTGTTGTGGGGTGTGAGTAGCTAGAGAATATGTATTATCGGGTGATGTTATTGCAGAAGTCGCCACTGTTGCGGTAGATTCAATACCAGAATTAATCCCGGAAGTATCGCTATAATGATTATTAATACAAATATTAATTCGATCCAACACAAGAGTTGAGTTCGAACTTGTCGTTGAGGCGGGGGAAGACACCAATGTGGCTGAGCTGTTAACTCCATCAGCAACTGTTGAAGATTCTTCTGTAAGAGCTGACATCAGCTTTGGAGCAGAYGAAAGATTATTTGCTGCAGCTACGCCATCGTTTGTGTTATTTGACATAGACATAAAGAATTGGTGTTGAGCATCATCTTGCGTGATATGCAAAGCAGTCGCCGATGAAGTTGGAGCAGAAAAATGTTGTTGTGTGAAATGAGTTGGTAATGCTGTCGACAACTGCTGAGCATAAGCAGATTGCTGATGTGGTGTGTGATAGAACTGTGGGAGTTGTATTATATCGTCGTGCCCAACAGCGGCTTCATCTTTAGCATTGTTATATATATGCTGTTGGTGTTGTTGTTGCAACGTATTTGGCAGTGTTGTAATTATACGAATATTATTGGCGTTTCCGTTGTGGTAACATCCCGTGAGGGTATTAACTGCTGACGATCTGCTGTTAACAACTCCTGAAGTGGCTCGTGGTTGCAYCTGCGCTGAAGTTCCATATTGACTTGCAGAAAAATTATTTGTTATTAAAATAGTATTGCCATGTTGATGCTGCAGCCGGTTCGCTTGTTGCATGGAATTTGATGATGTAGAAGTTAAAGACGTCGTTGCTACCCCGCCATAGAATCTCTGTGATGATGGTTGAATTCCAGGAACAGTCGTATTGAAAAAAGTTTTGCCCAAGGTAGTGGTCAATGGTATTTGACGTGGACCGAATAATTCACTTGTTCCGGTAGTTGTAATCGGTATTGAATTTGTGGTAATTTCGGGTCCCTTTTCTGCACATGTGCTAACATTTGGAAGTTGTAATTGTATTGATTGCTGATGCTCAGACATGGGTAAAGTCGAAGCAGGAGGAAGGAAAAAGTTACCAAGGGCTGGTTGAATATTGGCATGATGTGATAAACGTTCATTCGGTGCTTGATGCTGAACATTATGAGGATCCTGGTGAACATTTAGGTCATAAGAAGCACTATTCATGGTTAGAAAATTCTGCCAAGACTATAGATGGACTAATAGTAATTCCGATGTTAATATATTCGATTTATCTGCAATTGGCGAAGAAATTGTTATACATACATTTGTTTATTAGTGACAGAATGCAAAAATTCTACCAAGATGGTTTTTTGTTCAATATTTTTTACAACAGCTGGCAATACTACCTTATTTTACCGGCAAGTGGCTGACATTAGGTGTGAAGAGGACAAATTAATGTGCACTTTTCATTTTCCATTATTGGAACAGACAGTGTAAACGATTATACACATATATTTCAATAATTCTTGTAAACCAATGTTCAAAATTTTATATTAATTTTACTTATCAGCAGTATTGTTTCAATTAATGCAATTAAATCATTTTTCATACAAAGCACATTAAAGAACGTGATCAATTTACACAAGTTAAGATTCGTAAAGCATTTTTCGTACTCTTGGAAATTTTCTACTTCCGAGTCCCTCTTAACTCACCTAATATGGAGTATTTTATAAAATCTTAAATATATTGAAATTAAAGTTTATTTTATTCGATTTGCAATCATATTTAATAATATTCAAATAATGAAATATAAATTTTCCACTCGGAATTTGTATTAACACTGTCAGCCATTTTCCCAACACACGAACTGATTTTTCCCATTTCTCTTTACCTTCCCAATTCGTGCGCTTCTTCACTTTCCAGGCTAGAATTGGTTATTGACAACTACTCTAGTAACAGGGTTGCCTAAATGACCAGAAATAATTAATAATATTATACACATTTCTCTGAAATTAGTTCGCTTTAACGTTTCGTCCAGCCATTTCTTGGACCACGCTTTATTCTCTTATTCTTTTTGACAAAAAAACGAAGTCTTTGTTTATAATTACTATGAAAGCTTGACAGCTCGCTCGATAACAATGCAAATTTTTTCTATGTTTTTCTATGTCTCTACGTTATATTTGAGTACTTGTTCAAGCATTTCCACATTTATAAAGTTTAAGTTAATACTTTTATAATTATTATGTAGCATTTTCAGATAATTCAAACTTTTTAAATTAAATAAATAATTTGTTGAAATTAACATAGCGATAACCCTTATAAGAAGAGTACAATCTCGTAAGTAGACAACGTGTACCTTTCTATCACACTCTTTTATATTTTTTGTTGTTGTGAATTTCAATCAAATGAARAAGTGAACGCAGTGAAGTCAGACATTTTTTAATACGCTACATAAGTTTTGAAAAAATATAAATTATCTTTCAACATTAGTGAAAAAGTCGTAAAAAAAGTGTAGTACGATTGAATTTACATACGCCAGATTTGTATTTGAAGCATATATTTACTGGATTTGCTTTTAAAATATTGGTAAAAGTTGGAAATTTTCCCTTGCCTGTTTTGCTTCGAATACGATATTCGTGATGGTCGTTCTGTTTCCAATATTGTGCTACTTCTTAAATTTCGTTACCATTTACGTTTTGACACTCGCCTTTGCTTTTATTTCCGTGCGTTAGTTGTCCATCCATCCATTTGTTTTTTATTCGATTAGTTTCGTCTCCACTTTTGGTCTTTCGTGTTTTTGTTTTTGAGGAAAAAGAGGCTTTCAGAAGTTAATTAACAAAGTTATAATTTAAAGTAATCGAATACAAGTGATTAAAAAGATTAAGTCAAAGAAAAACAACAATAAAATACAGTTGTTAAAAATCATACAGAGACAAATAAATGAAAGCTTGGAAGCAGTGTAATAAAAACTTGTAACAAATGGAAATGATTTTCAGTTTCTAATCAATAAGTACAAAGCAAACGAAAGTGAAGAAACCTATCTATATGGCAAACGCACGTAGTAAAATTGACGGAAAAACAAAACCACTGGGAATAGAAAAAATACTTTATGACGACACACAGGTGTGGTGTAATTCATTCACTTTGCAGAAAACAATTTTGTTTTAATACATCTAAAATAGTTTATGTTTTGTTAATTAACATAATTGAGCTATAGCAAAAGACTTATTTAGAAATATACTTTTCTTGGAAATCATAATACATAATTAACATTTTTAGGAAGAGAGAACTACTGTAACGAAGTCATCTAAAAACAAATTAAGTGGTACTAAACTAAAAGCGAGCATTGGACACTTAGAAGCCGATCAACTTAAACAAGAATTTCTAGAAAAAGAACAAATGCACACTTTTAGTGAAACCGGAGCCGGCGTACCGGCTTTCTTGGCTAAGTTATGGCGACTGGTGGATGATCCGGATACCAATCATCTCATCTGCTGGAATAAGGTAAGTTGTTTATATACATGTCATTAAAAATAGATGTAACATTTATGTATATGAAACATGTGCACTCATTTAAAATTTGTTTTTTTTTTTGCTTAAAGAAATTTGGCAACAATGCCAGTGATTTTTAATTTATTTGATATGTATCGTCAATTATTCGCAAGTAACAGCCTAACAGTGGATTGTTATTCAATATCAACCACGCGTTACATATAGTAATGCACTTTTCTTTTTGTTAAGTTTATGTATAGTAATTCCGTATATTATCAATAACAAAAATATTTTTTATAATGGTAGCTTAAAGTCCATAGCCACAATATAGCGTGGATATTCCTTATATGAATATCTAAATTGTGGTCAGTTTTACCACATTCATACGAATGTATATTCTTAAAGCTGACTAAAATTGAAAAACACATTATTTTACATCGATAGCATGGCTATATACATATATTATTGATAGTTGTAATAATATTTTTTTCAGGATGGTCGAAGTTTTATAATTCAAAATCAAGCTCAATTTGCTCGTGAATTGCTCCCTCTAAATTACAAGCACAACAACATGGCCAGTTTTATTCGACAATTAAATATGTGTAAGTTGAATGAAAACTAGACTAAAGTTAAATGAATTTAATGTTATATTAACGTTATTAACATTTCAGATGGCTTCCATAAGATAACATCAATTGACAATGGTGGCCTAAAATTTGATCGGGAYGAAATGGAATTCTCTCATCCATGCTTCAAGCGAAATTGTCCATATTTGCTTGAGCATATTAAGCGAAAAATCGCCAATACAAAAAGTTTAGATGACAAATCAGGTTTGAAGCCCGAAGCTGTCACGAAAGTGCTGCAAGATGTTAAAGCAATGCGTGGTAGACAGGATTCGCTTGACTCACGTTTTTCAGTTATGAAGCAGGAAAATGAGGCTTTATGGAGAGAAATAGCCTCTCTACGGCAAAAACATGCCAAGCAACAGCAAATTGTCAATAAAGTAAGTTATATTACACTAGTATTGATTGATTTTTTCTGTTAATGTTTTTTCCTTTGCTTTCAAGCTCATACAATTTTTAATCACAATTGTTCAACCATCGCGCAACATGACAAGTGTAAAACGACATATGCAGTTAATGATACATGATACACCGGACAATACAAAACTTCGCAATAAGAGTGAATCCGAATCTGAATGTGGACCAGTTATTCATGAGCTGGGTGAAGAGTTGCTTGACGAAGTCGCCGATCCTGACATTGATCTAATGTAAGTTTACTGTTCATATATTATATAAAATATAAATATTCCAATACAAGACATATTTCCTTAATTACTTTAACAATATGCCAGGGATGCCTCCAGTCCATATAGTAAAATGATTCCAAATAATGATACAGAAGGAAATGGATCACCGCTAAACATTGAGCGTCCCCATTCTAGTGTTAGCCAAGGATCCCAACACTACGACTTTTCGAATCAGAGTACGGATGACGCACTTAACACTGCTGTGACTGGTCCGACTTGTAGCAGTGGTGGTAAGAGTAGTGTAAATGCAATAAACAACATGACATCTCAGAAAATCGGTATGGAATCGGACTCATCAATTATACAGTCAGTAAATCCCGATGGATCGCAGATTTTCTATCACGTTACCGAGGTACCTGATGCAATAGACGCGCATAATACCGACGTCATGCCTGGTGCATCGCCAAGTTACAGCGAAGAGAACGTGTTGACTACACCAATGGTTCGTGAACAAATGGCACGCTCACAGCAGCTGAAACAAAGAAATAAGCGACGCCGTAAACAAATTGATGATGATGATGATTCAACAGATATCACCGCTTCAATGTCGAAGATAAGAAACGTTGAAGAAAAACGCCAGTCAACACTATTAATCAAAAGCGAGAAAGAGCCACAAATCGATCCAATGTCGTTCCTTAATGATTTTCCAGATGACCATAACACAGATGCAAGCGTTTCCGGAAGTCTTGAAGAAAATCTTGCAGCTAACCGCAGTAGTTCTAGTTTACTAAATGCTGGCAATATAGCTACTGCTGCCATATCACCAGTCAGCAGAGCTAACAAGAGTCCCCTACTAGGCCAATCGACAAATTTTTATAATTCAAATGAGTTTATAACATCCGAAATGCCTGCTGATATATTTGAAGTGAGATTATATTAAACATGTGCATAAATTCAATTTTCTTCTCACGATAGATATTTTAAAATCTTAGGAATCTCCATTAATATCCGCTGAGCCAAATAGTTATAATCAGCAACAACAGAAACAACAGCAACAAATACAATATGGTCGAACAACAGCTAACAGTGGCAAGTTTTCTTCATTTGTCGCGCGTAGTAATAATAGCGGCAACGGAGCAACAGCTTCCAATAGGGCCTCAACATCTGCCGCAGCTGCTGTCAACCAATTTAGCAACGAAGACAGGCAGAGCAATAACAATTCTCCTACAACCTCACAACAGGGAAAGACCATCAATAATGGAAATAATATGTCTTTAGCTAAATATAAAAGCGGTGGTACTGGCAATGAGGGAATTATGCGGTTAGTAACTGAGAGAGATCTTAGTTACAATAAGGAATTCTGGCAACTAATTTCTTTAATATTTATTTACATTTAGTGATGAAGTGAACGACCATTTGGATAATGTGCAGGATGAATTGGAATCGCTTAAGGATTTGCTACGCAGTGATGGCTATTCGTTAGATGCAAATACTCTGTTGGGCGTAAGTATTCCATTATTGAAATGTTAGTTCCTCCCTTATGTGTACCACGTGCAATTCACTTTTTTTCGTTGCACCTCAATTTAAGTGTTTTGTGGTAACTATAGTGTATAGCCTTAGCAACTCGACGCAATTTTATTTTTATACCAAATGGTCATGAAATTAATATAAAAAATGTTGTAGTTTTCTTCCACACCAGTGCCTAAATATACTGAATGAGGGAAATAAACCAAAACCCACTTATATGAATATTGTGCACATGTTTACAAAAATATTTTTCAAGTTTGCTTCATGGTGAATGCAACTTTGTCTAATACTTTTAGATTTTTGGAAACTATTTCAAAAATACTCCTTGCTTAAAAGTTATGAATTAAATTATAAATAATATTTTACGACTTACAATTATTATTTTTCTCTCTTTTTGATATGAATTCTAACAAAAATGTACACAAACAAAACATTTTTGAATGAAACTGCATTATGTCTTCAAAAAATAAATGCATGATACATAAAACGATTTTTCTGATGAAATTCTGCAAATGTGCCAAAAACTAGAACGGAGATGCTACAAACACGARTACAACCAATCGATTTTCCCTGTCATCACAACTGGATGGGGAGTTTCTCACGAAGGTCAGCCAATTATTGACGTTTTCATTTAAATCTGAGTCTGAGCTAAATTATGGCTGAAAAGTGTGATTAATGAAACTGTTAAACCCGTACAATACGTATCAAATTGCCAAAGAAACTTTAAAATAACGTTGAAAAAGTTAAGAATGTGTGAAAATATATAGGCTTTAATAATAAAACGGCTCATTTGATATTATTATGGCTTTGCACAGTTTATTGTTTAACCAATATTCTTATTGTCCACATATTTTAAAAATTAATTTTAAATATATTTCACTGATGTTCTGTTTTATTTATTATAGCTTTTCAATGATTCCGATATTTTAGGACCATTCGGTTTAAATTTGGTTAATGAACCCAACAATGAGAAAAAGGGTGTGTTAATCAAAGGTGATGTTTAATAATCTTAATATATTTATTAATGCCATTTATAATTAACAGGTTCGGAGCTAATGTCCTACCAACCAATGTATGATCTTTCAGACATCATAGATATCAATGACAAAAATGAATTGGAATGTATGTTTTTAATATTACTTTTTTTTTAATAATAGATAAAAATAAATATTTATTTCAGCTGTTGATCAAGCGAATAGACCAAGTACTTCAAGGCAATTGCCTCAGTTGGAGCAACAACAAAGAGAGCCGACAAGTGGACTGAACACACCATACAATGATTATTTTGCTAATGCACTTGAACCAGCTGGCACACCGCGTAAAATAGAATCTGCAACTCTTTCTGATAGTAAAACTAAACACCCAAACTAAGACAGCCTTCGCACTGTTAATAACTTTGTATATTAAAAGAAAACCAGAATTGAAAATTATCGTTATTCAAATATTCTTAAAATATAATATACTATACTATTAATATGGCATCACAGAAAATCCCTTCGGCTTTGCAATGGGTATAAAAATGATCCAAAATCATTTGAATACTATATTCATTAAATTCTAACTTTTCTTAGTATAACACCGAAGTAATTTTCAGTGCTAAACACAGTTATAAAATTAATTGGGCTTTTGTCTACATAATTGAATTTTATATTCTATTATAATTGTTATACTCTTGTAAAAAATTTAATTAGATATATATTAGTAAGATTGTTAACCCCTTCATCCCAAAAATTTAAACTCGGTACCAAAATGTGTGAGTAATGAGTATTTTTGGAAGTAATCTAAGATGTAAAAGTAATAACCTGAAGGTTATATTTAAAAACAGCCTGAAGGGAAAGGTGTGATACTGTGTCTGTAATCCTTGCTAAGATAGCTGTGTCAAATAAATGTGATTACAACTTCCTCCCATATAGCAATAGTAAAACATTACAGTGATTTCATTACTTGGTTATTTACCTGATAAGCGCGTCCCAGACCATATTTGCAAAGCAAATTTTTTTTTTGACTTTCACGGGATTGACACGACTAAGCATTCTTAATTTTCATTATTATTTCAATAAAAATATATCGAAATTAGATTTTTTTTTAGACTAAAATACATGTTATTGGCGCGAGTAGCTTGTTTCTTTTTTTGTTTTTATATACAGATAAAAAAATGTGTGAGAATTAAAATTGAAAGTTACCATGAAAGTGGTAAATATACATGTATATGAAACCTACGTTTATTTTAGCTATAATTCTGTCGCAAGGAGATCACACAAACGTTTACACAGTGTCAACTCACTTGAATGTCTACATTATTAACATCGGTTTGTAACATCAATAAAAACATAAGAAACAAACACAGTGAAAGAAAGCAACACAACATAAAATATTCTTATTAGATATAGAAATGAAAACGACATTTCGTTTCGTCTTTTACACTAACTATAGTTTATACGCTGATGTATTTAGAAATTTAAGTGGATTTTGGAGTAGTGGAAATAAAAATAAAATAGACGCAACGCAAAACCTTGTATTTTTAGAGAAACATTTGAGTTGTATTTCGGACTTAAAAATATGTTCCTTATTTTGACATTAATGTTTTCTTTACAGCTATAGAAATGAAATATTATGACCAATATTCTAAGTTACCAACTAGAGTTATGGTACAATTAAATAGTGATATTAAATGATGTAATTTGAAACGCTAACTAACTTTGATCCTTATACTTGGCGTCTTTAAGTATTTTGGCAAACTCAAATTTAACGCGTTCCCTTTCTGTCCGTGGCATGTTACGCAAACTATCTACTAATGAGAGGCAATATAGTTCAATTGGATCATTAATAGGCGTCAAAACTGGAAATGGAGCCGGCATAGACTTTCTTTTTGACGCAGTAGTCATAATATCATTTGGCTGCCGTTGGAATGCTGCCGTTTCTGCCTGCTTTGGCTTTGGATCTAATTTATTATTTTCACAATTCCGTTCCTTGCCCAAAATTACGATTGGCGTTAGTAATTGCGACGAAAGACTTGAGGTGTTTGAATGCGAGGGTGAAGAAGGCGCCATTGGCGCTACCATGTTTGAGCTATCAATTTCAGCCTTTTGAAGTGGAGTTGATATATTTTTATGTTGAATTGTATGATCTTGCTGTGGTTTGTTTAATTTTTCAATTTTGGTTGGAATATTTAATTCTGGRAGTATCTGCTCGTCGTCGTAGCAATCATTATTATTAGGTAGAGAAATATCTACATTCTCGTGGATTTGCTGGGATGGCATAGCGACATCAACGTTATAATTTTTAATCCTGTGATCCCTTGCTTCGCTGCCATCGTCACTGTGTTCTATTTCAATAATTTCAAATGTGCTGGTGTTTTGAGGGTCCATATACATGAAGCTGTTGCTATCATTATCGCTGGAAATAATGTAATATCCTGTCTATACTTCTTACAATCAGTGGGATGTTGAATTATACTTACGAGCTGTTGTATGATGTGTTCATATGCGGCACTTTTTTGTAGGTTTGTGCAGTATTTTGCAAAAAAGATAGATCTTCTGTAAACCGACGTTTTCTAATATTCGCATTTGCCAAACCCGTTTCCAAGCTTTTAAGTTCTTGTAAGTAATTATATCGAATGTTTTTCCATTTGGTTTGAAGAAATTTGGCTGAAATTAGTTTTTATACGATATTAAATATTTTCTATGTTAATTTTAATTTATGTGTTTTTACACGGTGTTCGCATCTCCGCAGCAATTCTTTCCCAGATTGCGATTCGAATTTGATAGCGTCTGTAATGTTCATGGTTAACATCGTATATAGCCGGATTATCGCGCACTAAACGTATCAGACGATCGTCTAAAATTTATTCGAATTTGAATTAGAGGATAATTATGACATTTTCCACCATAAATGGATTGGGTTTTAAATCACATAGCTAAATGTGAGGGATATCTTCCCAACTAGTGAAAGCTTACCAAAGTCCGGCCCATAGGTTTCGCGCATTTTTCAGAAAATACGATCACGTTTTATATATCTTATAAAGTTTTTTATTTGAATATAATTGATAATATTATATTTTTAATGATTTTCACCAGGAAAACTAATATTTTTCAACACCTGCTTAGTATAACTCCTGCATCCTTTTACTTGTTTCAATTTGTTATTGTTTAATATCTGCGCATGTCCTTCGACGATGTTATGGCAACTAATGCAAGATATTAACTTGTAAAATTCCAGTAGATGTCGCCAATACAGATTTTCTCAAAGCTATAAAAACAAAAATTTGTAATATAAAATATATTTATTAAACTAATTATAAAAATATTTATGTAAAAAAGCGTCCACATTGGTTTAAAACGGTTGAGCTGTATCGGTCGAGCGACGATACTTCTAATTAGACACTTGATTTTGAAAATTGATTGTACCGGGGCCCTTGTCAAGCACGGCAGAGATGCTTGATAGAACGACAATTGTATTCAATCACGTTTATTTTTATGCAATCGTTTTTGCAAAAACAAAGTACGGCGTGAATGTCTGTTGATAAAACAAATCAATTATCCATTTATTATTGCGTTAAAGTGGATACCCTTTTCAAATTAAAAACGCCTGCATACGTATTTCAGCTCACTTACTTAATGTCATGGGCAGTCCCAGTTTTGGGAACTTTGGTCCCTTAATTGGTGTGGTCTACGTGAGCAGTACACATTGCCGATTCCTTGTATGATTAAAACTTTAAACAGAAACATACATACATTGCAACAAAAATATTAACTTATTTTCATAAATAATTTCAGATTTACTCAACCAAAAATGCGGAAGTTTTAACATTTCATGAATTGAAATTGCGGCAAATTGTGCACAATGCTGGTTGGTTGGAATATGATCCTATGGAAATATGGAAGAGTACTCAAGAATGCATCGAAGTATAATAGTTAATCAACATTTCTTTTATATATTCTTTTATTAATATTTGTTTTTTTTTTTTTTTTTTTGGTGCAGACTGCGTACAAAAATCTAATTATTTTGGAAATCAATCCGTATGATTTAGTAGCAATAAGTATTTGCAGTCAGCGTGGAACAACACTTTTATGGGACAAAGAGACGGGAAATCCTTTGTATAATGCTGTTGGTAAAAATCACTTTACATACACATTATAAAGATACTAAAGACTGAAAGTTATACTTTATAATTAGGTTGGAGCGACTGCCGTACATCTTCACTTTTGAAGACGGTTCTTGGCAATGTAAATTACGATGTAGATTACTTGCGACACAAAACAGGGCTACCATTAAGTACATGTTTTAGCGCGTTTAAAATCAGATGGCTTCAGGAAAATATAACATCTGTATCAGAAGCAATAGAAGTGGGCACATGCCTCTTTGGCACACTTGATTCTTGGATTTTATGGGTATATTTGTACCATCGCTATAAATTTTCGTAAAATATTAAACTTTATACTTTTTAAATAGAATCTTACTGGATCAAATTTAAGTGGAGTGCATATGACTGATGTTACCAATGCAGGTTATACAAGTCTGATGAACGTTCATACTCTCCAATGGGATGCTAAGATATGCCAATTTTTTCGTATTCCCATGGAAATACTGCCGCGAATTCGCTCAAATTCTGAATTATATGGTTACGTAATAGGAGGTTCTCTAAACGGACTTCCAATAGCAGCGGTATGTAATACTACTTTTCAATGTTTTAAAGTTGAATCAACTTTCAGTTTAATTTTCATTATAGTGCATTGGCGAACAGTCTGCTGCCCTATTAGGTCAGTTACAGACAAAAGTTGGTCAAAATGTTTGTATAATTGATGACAGTTGTTTCGTGCTGCTAAACACGGGTGAAGAGTTAATAGATTCTTTTAATGGATTACTGTCAGTAGTAGCATATAAATTAGGCCCAAAAGTTCCTGCTTACTATTGCTTAGAAGGTGCTATTTCTAATGCCGGGGCTACGGTCAGATGGCTAAAGCAAGGATTACGTATATGCACTGAAATCAATTCTAATGATAATGCTGTTGAGGTCCTCAACACATTTCTTGGAGAAAGTTCAATGATTTCATCGTCTTGTTCATCAGGTATGTTATTGACGTAGACACAGAAAACATTCTACGATTAATTTCCCTCAAAAACAGGTATTTTAAATGTCGATTGTGGATTGGCAGCAAAACGTTCAGAGATAACATTTGTGCCTGCTTTTCATGGATTATACGCACCATATTGGCGTTATGATGCGCGAGGGTAAGCTTTTAAAGCCTTTAGATTATGCRTTGTTACCCATATATTTTTTATTTCACAGCGTCCTACTAGGTTTAACTAGTCAAACCACAGCAGAAAATGTAACGCAAGCTGCTTATGAAGCAACTGGTTTCCAAATTCACGAAGTATTAGATGCAYTTAAACGTGACACACCAACTTGGAATCGAAAAAGCCACAAAGAACGGATTATATTTTGTGGCGACTATGCAGAGAACAACGCTTTCGTGCAATTTATTGCGGACATCGTTGGTTGTCTGTTGGAAAGGCCTCAAACGACATCACCAGCATGTTTAGGAGCAATGATATGTGCTGGCATAACGATGAATGTAGTATCTTTACTTCAGGCAGAAGTGATGTATCCGCCACCCGTGGATGCATTTACTCCAACAACCACTGCCAACCGTAAGTGAATTTCTCAATATTAATAAATTAAACAACCTGTTAATTTGATTTAGGGCGGGAACAATTGTATAAACGATGGAATTATGCGGTGCGAAAATGCTTAAATTGGAACAACTTTGCTACTTATGAGGAGGACTTGGAACTTTTTGCGCAACGTGACAGTGATCCCAATCTTCCAATACGCCGTTCGCTACCTGGCAGCATTTATATAACTAGTTCGTTTCTGCTTTTGCTTGTAGCAAACTTTTTGCGTGGCCGTAACATTACATAGATAAATGTATGTACAGTTATAAAAGAAGTGTTTGAAAAGATAAATGTATTCCTATTGTTAGCGAATCTTATGATGTTGCATTAGTGTTATAATTCGATCATTTTAAATCATTTTAGTCACTAAAATTTAGTGTTTAACTTGTGTAATCTTGAAGTTAGTTAATTATTGTGTGCGTGCTTCTAGTCACGGAAATTACTCAACGCGCTTCCTTTTAGTATATCATCAAGCTTTTTTTATCTTGCATTTAATGCATTATTATGATCTGCAACTTTATGCAGATTGAATAATTTTATAACCTCGTTAAGTTATATTGTGAAATTTCCGATGTAATAAAAATAATATTTGTGTCTTTGTAAATTTATGATAATTTATTTAAATTGTCTTAAACGTTTAATTGTGAATATAATATAATCAAAAAAGGGTTTATTTCACGATTTTAACCCCCTCGAATTTTCTGCATCTTACTTTGGGAGGCGAGGAACGTTTGCTATAACAACGGCTAGTTGTAGCTTTTATATATCAATTCCAATTATCCTCTAAATTAAATACATTTGACTTATTAGTTGAAATATGCTTTAATAAATATTAAACTAAACGAAAATATTAACTAAAAGCATTATTGAGGAAAAATTAAAGTCTAGTTTGCTATTAAATAATGATTATAATTTCACTTTATGGCTTTCCTGCCTGCCGGACGTTTAACTTGTTTCAGTCATCGTCATCATCGTCGTCATCCTCAGATGGTACGAAAAGGTCATTTTCTTCCAAGAAGTTGGCCACACTCTTGCTTATAGCAGCACCAAGAAAGAGACCGGGCAGCACGGCGCAGAAAACAAACACAATACCAAAAGGTGTTTGTTGAGGTTTAGGCTTCAATGCACCACTGCGAAAATGAGTACCTTGTGTCATATATGCTAATTTGGTTCGTTCTTCCAGAGATCGACCAAAGGCACAACGGGTTTGCAATAATGGCCGTATAAGGCGAGAAAAAACCATTATAACTTAATGTGCGTTTCCAGGGTAAATTCAGATATTTTTCTAGAAAAAATAATAAAAAGTTTATGTATATTAATGTACACACGAACAAAAAGCGCTGTTTCTACATAAATTATTACTTAATTGAAATAAAAATTGATACTTTAATTTTGCCAATTTTATATTTTCAGAAAATTTGTCAATATTACTTACTTTTCGACCCACAAGTATTTGTGAATGTTATTGTTGTTATTTGACTTTTCGATAAAACAGCTGATTTTGCAGAGCAAGGTTGCTTTTACTGTTCATAGTAACGGTATATTTATTTTGAACTAAGTTTTTGCAATATTTTTGAACAAATAAATTACTATATAGTTATGTGAAATATACGCAAGGTTCGAAGAAAAAGGAAGCAAAACTAATTCTTATTTGTACCTTTGATAGATACGTATCGAGCTAACCTATAATTTATGATAAGTATAAATTCTTTAATGTAGTATTATTAATGTATCCTTGGAACTTTTCCGCAGGGTTACTGCATTTCACATGAGTGTGTTTCACCAAAATAATTATCATTCAAATTATTATTTCCAATAGATTGGCTTAATCTTTGCTGAGAGGAGTGATGTAAAGTAATATCCTTTCCAAAACCGTTTTATAATAATTTCAATAAATTGATTTTTTTATGCTACTGTATTTGTCACATATCTTATACATGGGTATAATACTGATTATCTTGTAGATACACATTAACCAAACGATATTCAATATATTTGGAAGAATTCCACAATCTTATACATGGGTATAATACTGATTATCTTGTAGATACACATTAACCAAACGATATTCAATATATTTGGAAGAATTCCACAATCTTATACATGGGTATAATCAAATATTTCATATTGCCCTTAAAAGTAAAGTTAAACGAATGTTTGAGACATACTTTATGAATATAAGTGCATAAACAATTAATGTGCTAATAATTTTTAAATAAGTCAGGACTAATGTCTTAAAAATAGTGATATTGTGGAGCAATCGTTGACGTTAATAAACGAAGTAGTGGTTGAAGTTCTTTCAGTCATTCTAAATTTATTTTGTTGCCTCTACAACAATTTATTATTTATGTTATGTATTCATGGAAATGACGTAAAATGTTAGTTTTTTCATGATTTTACTTGTATACAAAGTAAATACATGTGTGATGAGAGTGCACTGAACTTTATTATAATAGTATAAAACGTTCAATATTTTTGTTATAAAGTTACTAAACTATAGATCGTTATTTTGGATCTGTTTCTTCTTGCTGTTAATCTTAGTTATCAAATAGTGAATTGGACATGATAAAAATAATTTTTGTAGCATATGCAAATAGTATATAATATATGGCAGCTATTCCCGTTCTTCCAAATAATTTTTGATGCGTTTTGCTAATAATAAAAATTAACTCAGTTTAATATTGCAATAATTAATAAAAATGAGTTAGCGTAGTTTACCTCTAGTTTTGAATTTTTTCTGGGCTTTTGTTGAATATTTTGAACAAAAACCTTATAGTTCTGATTATTTTGTATTTATAATTAATTTGTAATATTTCTTCAATTACTTTTAAAAAATGTTATGCATGTTGCACATATTATGTGTAAAAATATATTTAACTCATTTAATTTCATAAAAAAATTTATTAAATTTTTTATTTATTTTGTGTCCGGATTATTACTTATTTCGCATGTAAACGTAGATAGTTASTGTTAACATAAATTTCGAAAAACTCTCTAACAGTAAATACTTTGTTGAAATGAACTGATACAAAGAAAATGTGAACATTTACACAATAGAAACATTTACTTAATATATCTTGGCAATTCTACTTTGATGCAATAAATAATTAATACAAATTATATSAAATATGAATACTTATTTAATAGGTGGGAAGGTATGTCAAAGATCAAGCAGTGTATTGATATTTTCCAAATAGTTTACACGCATATAAATTTATTCTAACTGAATGCACGTATTTTATATTTTATCATTAAAGTTTGATAACAATAATATATATAAGTTTCAGCCTTAAACTAAAAAAGCATATATGTACATAATTAGATTTGTTTACACACAAAAATTAAATCAATAGTTGGCAAACTCTTAGAAAATTTTCATTAATATCTCAACAGACTGTTATACACAAGCTTTTACTACAACTTACATACTATAAAAAAGGATTTGCACAATGGGATTACAACTGTTTAACACGTTGAAAATGGCTAGTAATATACCAACATTATACAATCATATACACACATGTCAGCTTACTTTGAAATATTTGTAATAAAAATTAGTGCCGAGTTATACGCGTGAAAATATTCTGATTTCAAATCACACATAAATTCGACAAAATTAAATTCACGCAATAATTACAATGTCATTTATGTATATTGTTTGAGCCTATGACATACATAATTATTCAGTAAGTTTAGGTTAGTAGTCAAAAAATAAGATAAAAATTTTTAAATTAAGTTTTGAAATAACATGTATGTATGTTCATACATTCATATACATATAATACATAAGTATGTACATTTTTGAATACATAGATAAATCGTGCATAATATACTTCTTATCGCTGAAGTATGCAATATACACTACAATCAAATAATGTAAATGCATTGAATGGTAATTGTATTTAATACATTTCTTTGAATATATTATATTGAAATAATAAGAGACGAATAAATATCATATTTTAGTGATGTTATTAATGATGCATCAATGCAATGATTACAGATTTTTATTTGTCTCCTATGTACACTATTCTATTTCATCAAAAGTGGCATGCGCCTTAGTTCTGATGTCGCTGGTAGCATTGCGGTTTAAATCGACGCTTTCCGTCATTGGATGCTGCTGACCTGTTCCCGGTCATAAATCTGGGAAACGACGGGCATCTTCCACATAATGCGACGGTACATCGAATAGTGTTGCCGGTATGTTGTCACGAAATTCAAACTTTTGGAAAGTTATTTTCGCTGTCACTGTATGTAAAACTGGTATCTCTACTTTGACGGGGAACCCACTTGGTAATTTGAGCGTTATAAATTCGCGCAATTTATTAATGTGTTTGAAAGGAGCAATTACTTCCAATACATTTAATAGCATTTCGACGCTAAGGGGAAAATCTTTACTCATAGCTACTGTGGCCCGTATAGACTTGTTTGATTGCTTATGTACTGGTGGTCGTCCCAAATGGGGGCATTTGCCAATTGGTGTGTTAATATACTCTTCCCATGTAATGGCTGGCGGGGGCGGAGGTTGCAATGAACTTCTTCGGGGCATTTCTGATGCAGATCCATTTATTGAATCCCTATTTAATCCACCTTCCCCGTTTGCACTTGTTAAGCTAGCACGACGACCACCACGTGTAATTGTATCAACAATAGCTTTATTTTTTTGGAGATCCTCATGTGATAGATGCTCTCGCCTTTTACGTTGTTTTAAAACAAGACCTTGTATCGAATATAAATCGCATTGGTATTGTCCGCTGACTAATTCTTTTCGATCCTCGCGGAATATCCAACCGCTTTGGGCTCGAGCAAACTGTATGCTTTTCGTTGACATTTGAGCAGCTAAAATATCCGTAGACATTAGTACATCTACTTCGTCTTCGATATCTGTATCTTCATATCGAACGTGCTGATAACATTCATATTCGTTATCTAAAACTGTTAATGATTCATGAGGTGGTCGATCACCACGAAAAATAAAAGAAATGTCCCCCCTCTCCCAACGCATATCATTAAAATCTACTAATGTTGTGTCAAGGCGTAAGGTGGCTCCCGACTTGTGAATTCGACAGATATCGGACGGCAACATACGGGATACAAGTGGAACCCATGAAGCAAAATCCCATTTGAGTTCCATGTAAAAGTCTTTCATTTGTTCAAGAGCACGAACTAATTTAGCGCGACGAGTTTCCATATGCTGACGGGATTGCTGTTTAAGTTTACACAGCACAGCGGAGATAGTTTGTCTATCACCGTAGCTAATTGCTTCAGCTAATGGCGACCATCCTTCATTGTTTTTTACTTTTACAGGAGCGTTATGAGATAACAGCAAATTGATACACTCTTTCCTTCCCAACATTACTGCTAGATGTAAGGGTGTGTTTCCATGTTTATCTTTACAACCGATTTCTTCTTGCGTTCGCCAGCTATTTGGGGACCGTTGAAGAAGTCTTGCCAAACTTTTAAAATCACCTTGAAAAACACTTTTGTGTAATGGGTACTCTTCATTCTCGCTTAATATATTTGATGAGCAAGCACCCATAACATCTCTCTCTATAGTTATAGATGCAATAGGAGTTGAAGTTAACGACAATACTGGTGACAAGTACGGGGGAGATTCATTACCAGCAATTTGTGTCGATTCAATACGCCCCCCTCCACGATCTATACTGCTTTTAGAAGCATCATAGTTGGCCTTACAATTAGATTCAGGACACACATCTAACCCGCCTTTACCACTGCCACCTGCCCAGTGTTCGGTGTGTTTGTTTTCAAGACTTTCGACCTTTTCTTTGGACATTGTTTTTGACATGTAAATGCTCACCACTTAAAGTTTATTTTGGTTTTATAAATTTTTCTAAACACTTAAAACAAATAATATTTTTAATCTTTCCTCCTATATTATTGAATTTTCACAACAGTCTCTGCTTTTTCTATTACTTCGTATTTGAAGTATTCAGGGTTGATTTGACTTTCTTTAACTATGCATCGAATTTAATACCAGAGAATGTGCAATAAATTCTCTGCCCAAATTTCGTCAATCAGCTGTTTTAGATTAGTAATAGATTTAGTAAATTGCAATAATCGTAACCAAAATATTTTGTTTCTTTCTCTGTTAGCGCGCCATGTAAATTTGTGGTATTCTCGAATTAATTAATCTAAATTATTTGTCTTTTGAAAAACATGCCCCAATCGCAAATTAACTACCGGCCTCCAATGACCGATTCTGAGGATTCAGATGGCTATGATGGTTATTATTTCGGTGATATGGCAAGTAAAAGTATAAAAATTAGAATATTTTGAATGCACTCATAGGTTTCAAGGACACTTGATAAATTTTACTACAGTTCTAATAGAGATTCTTATTCGTATTTCCAGCCATCAAAAAAAGCTCGTTCGCCGACTATATGGCAACAGGAGCAGAACAGTCGTGCGGAAATAATACTCTCAATCATAAAAGGAGATGTTGAAAAATGTAGACAGCAAATAAGTGACCACAAGATATCCGTCAACGAACCAATCAATGGTAACACTATTAGTTTTTAAATATAAAAATGGTAAATTTTTTTTAGAATTCATAAATTTTTAGGAGAGTTTACTCTTCTCATGACTGCTTGCCGAGAAGGGCAATTGTCTATCGTGCGGCTTCTACTCGAGGATCTCAATGCGGACGTCAATAAACAGGTGGATTCATTTACACCACTAATGCTAGCATGCCAATGTACAAGTAAAGATTCGCATACAATTGATCAGATAGTACAACTATTACTAAAACATAAAGCTGTGATAAATGTTTCCGACAAATATGGAACTACTCCTTTCATGCACGCTTGTAAAAATGGGTATATCACCATTGTGAGACGAATGTTGAAAGATGTGTCGTTAGATGCTGTTGATAATCAGGGATGCACGCCAATATTTCATGCAATAGAGAATAATCGTACAGATGTTGTAAAACTCTTGATGGAAGTTGGTGTAAATGCAACTATTGCTAATAGAAAAGGTTATACACCAGTACAAGTAGCACAATTTCATGGATTTTACGATTTACTTGAATTTCTACCAAAAGAAAAAGTGACTTATGTTGTCCCACCTCAATTCCTTGGCTACAACACATTGCGTGATTACATACCAAGAATTTTTTTGAAATCTGATTGTCCCGAATATTTCCAAGAAATTAATGCAATCCTATTATCTTTAAATATGGATAGATTTTTAGAACATTTTGCCAAGGAGCAAATTACACTGTTGGATTTCCTATCAATGAATGACGATTTAATGGAAGATATTGGAATTAAATATCCCATTTTTCGAATGAAAATAATGAAAGGACTCCTTGAGTAAGCTTGTTATAATATTATAATGTATACGCTTTAATTTTTTCATTTATATAGTTTTCACCTACATCATTGGTCAAAAAAATCTATCGCTCGCGTCAGTAGATCATCAAAAGAAAAGTAGGTGATTTATAGAATCTGCATGTATATGTTTATATATTTAATGACTTTATAGTTTCTACGAAATTTTAATGATTACGGCCAATCATTTACAACATTTAGTAATATTGACAGCAACGCTTCGCTTTATAAAAGAAAATATCAAGTCCGAAGAATTAGGATATGTGTCACAGGAACAATTACAGTCATTGCAACAAAATGTTAAGACATATCGGGTAACAATAAAGGAACTCCTCAGAACTACGAAATATGTAAGAAATTTCTATAACATAGTAATTATTTGAATTCACCGTTATTATTTAATTTCAGTTATCTTCATTTAGTCCTTCAAAAAATCCATTGTATATAGATTATGATGAGTATCTGGCTGAAACCAAACGTAAGAAACTGAAAAGATTTTTCAAATACACTACAATTTTTGTTGGAGTATCCGTATTTATTTGTCTCAAAATACGAACGATTTTCTTTAGCTCATAAAAAAAATATTACAATAGTTTAGTACGATATGCGAAATTTTCTGTCACTTGAATTAAAATTTATGATAATTGCATTTAATGAAATTTATATGAGTTTGTTTTAAAATTGTATAAAACCCAAAAAATTTTAAAGCATTATAAATTGATTACATTTTTCAAACATGAATTTTAGATATCTTTAAATAGGCATACTTGTAGCAGAGGAAGTATGTGATATTATTTTGGTTATTCTTTGCTTACAGCATCTATTATACGATGGTGGGGATTCAAAAATGGAATGAGCGTAAATATATCACCCTGTTTCAAAGTGTACCAATATCAGCGCGTTCCACTATTTAAATTCGCATTAGCATTAAGGTAGGATTCTATGTCAAAACACTTAAATAAATGCATATCTGATTTTCAATACACTGACAGTATCGAAATATTAATAAATAAATCAAATCAGCACTTAAATAAGGAAGAAAATCAAAAATGTTGCGACAATTATTGGTAAGATCAAATAAAGAGATGTTGCATAATTTTTTTTAGCCAATGTAAATACGTGAGTACAATTTTGTTAGAGTCAGGGTTCTCGCCGGAAAATTTTACGAATGCAGACATTTTCATCAAAAGCTACAATTGGAGATGACAAAAATAAGGCAAAGGTATTAAATAACGCTGATGTTCCAATAATCGATTACGAGGATCCGGATTATTTACCGCTCCCCGAGTATCCTTTACGACCAGATGAGCCGCTAGAAGTGCGGAAACAGCGGTAAGTCCTATGCCAGTATTTATATAATCTTATTTCGAAATAACTCAAATATTACCCCATAGCCTTATTTATCAATCTCGAAAGCGTGGTATGCTTGAAAATGATTTGATACTTAGTACATTTGTTGCACGTTACTTAAAAGATATGGATGCTAAACTAACAGCACAATATGACCAATTAATCAATGGCGTCACCAATGATTGGGACATATATTACTGGGCCACAAATGTTAAGCCAACTCCCCCAGAACATGATAATGATGTTATGCGATTGCTTAAAGAACATGTTGCGAATTCGAAACGCGAACAACGCCTGTGCCAGCCGGATTTGTAAATATTATTGTATATGTTATGGTTTTGAAATTAGTTTTATTCCTGTTGCTTATGCACTTATAGTTGTTGATAAATATTTTTAAACAAATAAAATAAATCCTTTACTACATCAAGCTTCACTAACATCGTTCAAATACTTTATATAGTTGTGACAAATTGGTCAGTTCGTACAATTGCTGCTTCAAATGATTCGGTGGGAGCAAGTATCGTTTAAATGATGGATATAGGACATGTTCTATAAGCCAATTGTGCCGTTGTGGCAGTGATTCTATTTCTAATACACTCGTTAATGCATAAAATTTAGCGGTTTCTCTACAAAAAGTTTCAAAACATTCTACTTCTGATTCCCAATCCACTTCTGTAGCCAGGCGCAATATATACATCGGCAAATGTGTGCTGCAGGGATAATGTTGAGGTAAAATGGCGGGTAATGCTTCTAATTGAGCTTCCTCATTAATTCTTAATGAGAAATATTCACGCATTATGGGAGCTTTTTCGATAAGTATTTTACATGCACTTTCAGCGAGTTCCATTTTATCGCCATCTTCAGGCGACCAACCAGCTTCTTCGCACTCCAATGCTATTCGTACAAGCTCTCTAATATCAAGAGGTGTCTCCAATTGAATATGGGGAAGATTTTGAAACTCAAATATCAAGCGCTGATAAAAAAGTTCCTCACTGCAATAATATAGTAGCAAGTAAATATTCAAGGATTATAGTCATTTAAATAATATACAAAATATATAATACTGAGAATGTGAGTTCATATTGAATGTTTATGAATTTATGGATATTGTCTGGTACATACCAAAATTTGGACGTGTTGCACAAATATAGCTTAGTGTCATATTGAAATAAAGCATATGCTTCGTTCACTATTCCAACAAACACAAGGTCCTTCAATATTTTTCGTAGCATGACGTTAAGTCTGCGTTCTACATTTTCCTGCATTTGTTTTATACTTGTAAGCAGCAATTCGGACTTTCGCGCTGTGTTTATCTTAAAGCTCTCATCCTCAATATGAGTGAAAGAAGTTGAATTTGAATTGTTGACTTCTTGATTAGGAATGGGTTTTTGTAAAAGAAACTTGTCCAATTTTTGTTCTTTAGAATCGGTTCGAACACGATCTTTATCCATACGTTCTTTATCAAAATTTTTTAGAGACGCTTCATTTTCATTATCCTCCATATCTATATTGGATATACCCGGTAATCTCAATTGTTTATAAAAAGTACGCGTTGTATTGCTACCTAAAAGCTTCAGTTCTATTCGACGCTTAATTTTATCTATAATTTCATCCTCGTATAGAAAATGAACTTCATGTTTTGTTGGATGAACATTAACATCTAAATGTGTTGGTGTTATTTCGAGGCTTATATAAGTAAAAGGATGCATTCCTTTGGGAAGGTAAGTACTGTATATATTATCTACGGCTGCCTTTAAAGCTAAGTCATGTAAATACAAATATAAAGTTTAAGATATGCCAATATGTGACAGATTCTCTCACTTACTCACCACTTGAATCTACCAGTCGATGATTGATGAATAGTAACATTATTCCTCTTTTTGCTGAATAGTCTACATTTGTTACTAACGCTGTCAATTTGAACTTATGAACTTCGTCCTCCAATTCAACAGGCAATAAGGAACGACCAATTTGTGTTCCATATATATCAGCGATATTGCATTCGCGTGTACCACGGCCAGTTGTGCGCAATATTGGGGGTTCACCATACTTTTTGAGTGTAAAAGCAACGCTTGAATTGTGTACAGCATATTTGGAGATAACATCGCAAATTTTTTGCATTTCCTCGGTTGGCGATTTTAAACACTGTCGCCTTTGTGGCATATTATAAAAGAGATCTTCTACCGTAATAATAGTTCCTTGATTTCCGGCACTAGCTTTTGGGGTGCCTTTCATCGTTCCATCTTCATAAGAAGCTCTACAATAGTTTATCATTAATTTTTTATACAAATTTATTCACTCGAATGTGGTAATAAATTG